AAAACTTGCGGGCGATATCACCGATGCCCCGATGATGGAAGTGGGAGGTGATTGGGACAATATCGAGCGGCAGCTAACTCAACCGATTCACATTCCGAAAATGCCGACAATCAGCCCATCATCGGCCCTTTATATCGTCTTCACCTCCGGAAGCACAGGCGCTCCGAAGGGAGCGACCGTCACACATGCCAATTTCTGCAGCGCCATCCGACACCACCAAGCAGAGCTCGGGTTCGAAAGGTCATCGAGAGTTTTCGATTATACCTCGTACGCCTTCGATGTTGCATGGTCAAATGTGCTGCACACACTAACCGTGGGTGCATGTCTCTGCATCCCCTCGGAGGACGAACGTACTGCCGATATCAACGGCTCCATCAACCGGCTGCAGGCAAATTTTATCCATCTCACACCAACCGTCGGACGCCTGCTCGATCCCACAGCCTTGAACGGCCTCAAGAAAGTCTTGTTCATTGGCGAGGCGCTCAAGGCCAGTGATGTTGCCCAATGGGAGGCTTCCGGTGCCGAGATCTACAATACATATGGCCCCGCTGAATGCACCGTCACGAGCACAGTTGAGAGAGTGCGAAAGGGGGAGCCCGAGATCAGAGTCCGTGACCCCGGTATCGGCAAAGGTACTGGCGCCTTGGTTTGGGTGGTTCAACCTCGTGCGCCTGACAGGTTGGCTGCCATCGGGACAGTAGGAGAGTTGTGGCTCGAGGGGCCGATTGTGGGTGCTGGCTATCTGAATAATCCAGAGAAGACAGCCAGTGCATTTATCGAGGACCCGAAATGGCTATTGAATGGAATTCCTGGACGAGTGCCTGGTCGCCGTGGGCGACTCTACAGGACAGGTGATTTAGTCTACTACAACTCAGACGGCTCTCTTGGATTCGTTGGGCGAAACGACAATCAGGTCAAGATCAACGGCCAGCGAACGGAGTTGGGAGAGGTAGAATACCACGTTCGTCAACTACTTCCGACCAAGGCAGTGCCACAAATCGTGGTAGACGTGATCACCCCGGACGCCACTCGGAACCAGGCTCTGGCGGTGTTCTTGGTCATGTCCGACGACGACAGTGCAAGAATCCAGCTGAACGAGGTAACTGTCTCGATGATAGCCAACCTTCGAAAGCAGCTGTCGAAATCGCTTCCCTTGTACATGGTTCCCAGCGTATACATCCCTATTCCCTTTGCAAAGCTGCCCGTGACAGCAACAGGGAAGACGGATAGACAAAGGGTTCGCGAGCTAGGCAGAACCTACAACCCACCATGGCCTTCACATTCAGACGCGTCGACTTCTGATGCTATACTGACCAATACGGAAGAAGTCTTGAGGAATATCTGGGCTAGGCTACTTGATATCAAGCCTGATCTTATCGCTGCAGGTCATAGCTTCTCGGAGGCTGGGGGCGATTCAATAAAGTTCATGTCACTCGCCATGGCAATACGCCTGCAATTCGGCATCAACATTGCGGTATCGCGATTGGTCCAACAGCAGAATAGCTTGCGTGAACTCGCCACCCTAATCGACAACCTGTTGCGCGGCCAGCCGCTTGAGGAGCCAACACAGCCGACACTGACTGAGCTAGAGCGTGAGATAGACGTGCTGCTGAGCAAGATAGAATTTGGCCGGACCGCTACTGGATCCACGGTCTTCCTCACCGGATCAACCGGGTATCTGGGAACCCAGATTCTTCACTACACACTGACGAAGCGCGCATTCGACAAGGTCGTGTTACTCGTACGTGCTCTTGATGAACGGAAGGGGCTGGACAGGGTCATCAAGACGGCCAAGATCGCTGGGTGGTGGAAGGAATCGTTTGCTTCCGCAATTGAAGTATGGGATGGAGACCTCTCGGCCGAAAGACTGGGGCTCAACGATCCACAATGGAGCGCGTTATGTGGCCATCCGAGTACCCATGGTGCTGTCAATGCAATCATCCACAACGGTGCCAGGGTGCATTGGGCCACGAACTACGACGGGTTGAAAGACGTGAACGTTGGTTCTACGGTACAGCTTCTACAGGCCGCAATGGCGTCTCCTTTCCTCATGAGCTTTGTGTACGTCTCAGGTGGTCTCATCACGGATAGCCGAATCTGGACCGAGGAAGAGGCAAGGATGGCCACTGGATACGATCAAACAAAATATGTGTCGGAAAGATTGGTGAGTGCTGCCGCCACACAGTTTCGCAAACGAGGCACGACGTTCTCGGTCGTCAAACCGGGACATATTATTGGGGACGTGTACACAGGTGTAGCAAATGTCGATGATTTCTTGTGGAGGGTGGTCATAGGCGCGGTCCGGCTTGGAGCCCGCCCAGTCGAGTCAGAGACATCGTGGCTCTCAGTGTCGGATGTTCGTCACGTCACAGAGTCCATTCTATGGCACGCAGCAGGAAAGTGTCACGAGCATTTCGTGCACATCAAAAGGGGAGTATGGGTCAGTGCCTTCTGGGCTGCGGTCGAGGATCAATTACAGCTCCAGCTGCGCCCGGTCTCCTGGGACGAGTGGATTGAGCTTGCCAGGCAGGACATGGCGCGGGAGCAAGAACAACATCCACTATGGCCGGTGCAGCAGTTTCTGGGTGCTCTCGGCACTGAGATTGAAGTCACTGATCTCGAGAGCTACGAATGGGCAATGCGAGAGGTGCTTGCAGCTGCGCGACAGAACATTGAGTACCTCCGTGGTAATGGTTTTCTGGGAACTACTGGTGGAAAGCTGATCAATGGAAAAGTACTAACAAGGACCCGAAACATACCTATGACGGGTCTGAAAGCTGTAAGCGCCTGATACAGATTCATGTTCGGGGATTGTATACAGTCATGGATAGAAGAATTTACAAATTGCTACCTGTAATCATTCATATACATATATGACTAACTAGCTAGATGTCTGTAGTAAACTTAGGCACTATATAAAGGGATAAAGAGATAAGTGAAGCACATCTATGTCACTAAAAACCCCCAAAGGTTATTTATTTTTCTATTCCTGATGGATGTGCACATCAGGTATGATTAGCAATGTAATTATAGGTGAAGGTGATGTATTATGAATGGCCAGACAGCCCTAAGACGTGCCTATCTATACATGGAGAAGTGGCAGGCAGCTATACATCACTCCTAGAGTAAGATGTACTACATTATCATCCGACTCTAAACAGTCATAATATAGGTATACTTGTCACAGGGTAGTTACCTAGACAATTCAAGGCACCTGTTACATAAGGCGACGTTGTAATTAATGATAATTATTTAGTTAATCTGACACCACAGCAGGCAACGCCAACTAAGTACAAAACCATGATTGTGCGACCACGTTATATCAAGCGCCAAATGCCAACCCAGGCGGCAACGCTAAAGATATACCCAGATGAAGCGCTAACTAGCGATCCTCTTGCGCTCCTCCTTCTCAGAGACTCTACCCCCTCCAACACTTACCCCTCCGTAACCCCGAGACTTCATACCGCTATATATTGCAACTTGTTCAGCCTGGTGAACAGCTTTAGATATCACAGATGACTCATTAAAAACGTACAAACCTTAAGAAGTCGCAAAACCATCACCCCACAATGGCCTCCTCAACCCTCCCTTCGAACGGGCGCCTCGTTAACATTGGTACTCACTCTCTGGCTCTCTACACTCACGGCCCAGAGCCCAGCAGTTCCAAAGACCCCACCGTGCTATTTATTTCGGGTGTGGCAAGCGATGCCCTCAACTGGCAAGCCGTGGTGCGGCTGCTGGGTCCCTCGCAGCGAAGCTACACTTACGACCGTTCTGGCTATCACAACTCGGAATCCTCGCCGCTCGCTCCCTCGGCCGAGAACGTTGCTTTGGAGCTCTCCCTTCTGATTGAAAACGCGCCCATCCCGAACCCTCTAATCCTTGTGGGGCACTCATGGGCCGGCGTGCTCATGCATGAGTACATCGCCCTAAAGGGAACTGACCGAATCGCTGGTCTTGTGCTTGTGGACGCCAACCATGAGACAGCGCCACTGGTGATGCACGTGAACGATCCAATTCTGTGGACCGTTGCCGCGGGTGTTGAACCATACTCTGCCTGGGGCGTAGAGGCGGAGCACAAGTTGACTCAGGAGGAGTGGGAGGCGTTCAGGGCGGCGGAAACAACCGAGAAGTACAAGCTGATTGAGCGCAAGGAGGACTTTGAGAACTACATGCCCAGTTTCGAGACGCTGCGGAAGAAGGAGCTGAGTAAGAAGCAGCCACTGCTTGGAGATAAGCCGGTTTATGTCATCGGAGGCACACGAAGCAGGGATTGGAGTGGATTGTATAAGGCGGGCGTTGCTAAAGGGAACGGGACTGAGGAGCAGAGGAGCTATGTGAGAGAGTTGATCAAGACGGTCGATGCGAAGAATGAGGGTCTCATGAAGGAATTCTTGAAACTGTCTACGAAGAGCGAGCTTGTCTTCGCCACCGAGAGTGGTCACTTTGTCCAGTTGACACAGCCGGAAATCGTTGTTGAAGGAGTGAAATGGGTCCTACATAACCTACCGGCATCTTCTTAGTTGAGTTGCAGTGAATAAGTGACTTGACACTTAGCACCCAAACATCGTGGATAACAAGTACGTGAATGATTGTGGAACAAGCTATATAGATACAGGCCTGCAAAGTTGATAGGATCTTGTGACAGCTAGGCCTTGCACAATTCAGAAGTCTACGCCACACCTGCAACTCCGGATTTCACAAGGCCGCAGAAACAGAACATAGTGGGCAGAAGCCCAGAAATAAGGGTGCATTAGATCAGCTACAATAAGTAGTTCACAAGACACATAAAGAAACCATGTGATTAGTTACGGGACAGAATATCAACTGGCTGTTCCTATTGTTTGTTTCAGTGCATTTGAAATTTCCTACAGTGTTTTGACTCTTATTCTACTAATCATTCCCCCCTTTCTCGTTAATGTGGACTGAGACCGCGATCATAATCACATAATGACGGCAGAATTATTCGGGACACGTGCTTGGGACCGCAGATTCTCGATTCAGTCGGAGGCCTTGCCTCTGACTAAATAAGCAAATTCAAATGCAAAAGTGACAAAGAGCAGCAACCCAGTGATGGATCCATATACAATAACCATGTTGGGATCATAGGCGGCAAACGACACACCGACACCGAACAGTGAGCCCAAGGCACTGAAAAAGTAGAACAGAGCCTGAACGATTGACTTCATACTTGCTGGGGCCCGCGAATATGCAAGTTCGGTACCTGCCACAATCGCAAGGATCTCTGCCCACCCGAGAAATACATAAGTCGGCGTCTGAAGTCCAACGGAGACATCGTTGGGCATGTTCCCGCCAAGGCACTTCAGTGGATGGCTGAAACATGGGCCAGTCGTGTATATGAGGTGTTGAATCCCTGTGGTGTATGCAATTGCAAGTGTGGCACAGAAGAGACCCACGCCGATGCGGTGCTCGGGCGAGAAATTGATTTTGTTTCTGGCCAGCGCGGGATAAATCCAGCTTTGAAAAAAGGGCAAGAAGACCATGACGGAGATCGGATTCAAATTGTACATGATGTCGTTCGGGAGGCCGTGAGTCTGCATGGTCCCTGCTTGCGCTATGAGGGTACTGTCCATGAGATTGACGGAGAGCATCAGCGCTGGGAAAGGAAGGCTGGTTGGCGTAAGTAGTTGTTCTTCAAGTGCTGATTCTATAGCATGAATATCTTACAAGACTAAACAAGCCCGGAGGGCGGACTTTGCATCAGCTATTATGGCCTCATCTTCACTTGGAGTTGCAGAGCCGTCTTCTTCCGCAGACGATCGTATTGCAACTTCTGTCTGGTCTGGTCTGCGATGGGCCGGGTTCCGGCGGCGACGCAATGCGCTGAACACGTTTGCGATGGCGTTTCCAGACGGTGGTGCCGTTTCTAGGAATTGGTCAGCGGCCGGCGTACAATACTTGCCAGAGGGCAACGGATCACTCACCGAACTTCGTGTATCCAGCTTGAAAGATTCCTGCAGATGCGGCAATCAAGCAAAGGCAAATAAGGAAGGCAAACCCAAAGCCGGCATAGGCATGCCTCTCAACATTAGTTGTTATAATGCCACACAAACCTCCAACATTGATCATCCTATATGATCATCTATCAGCCAGTCCCTGGTGCGATAACCTTCACAGAAGACATACCAGTAATTGACGTTCCATATAAACCGAATTGTGAGTTCACGGCTAACCATCGCCGACTTCCCATTCTTCAAAACGATGACTTTGGGTTCCACTTCAGGGAACTGGTCAACTGTTGATAATGAGCACAGGTGGAGATCAAATCGTTCGGCTCTCAATGCCTACTCAAGAATACCGTTATATTAGGTTTCACAGTTCCTGCGCCAGCACCAATGAGAAACATGCCAACTACGAAGCCGGGAAGGCCGCCGGTGCCGTAAATTCGCTGCGTGAAAGCTGTCGCAGTGACAATACTGAGTCCCAACACGTAGATTCTGAACCGTTAGTCTCTGTCTACAGACTGAGCCAAGTCGGTGATGAACCTACAAAAATCCGACCTGGATCGTTTTGCGCCGGCCGAGCCAACAGTCGGCCAACAGTCCCCCTGCCAGAGGTGTGGTGTAGCTGTATATGCACCAGACATATACAATCAACACTGCTCTTGCCTGCCCTAGCCCAAGAGCTCCTGGGCGAAGAGCGTCATCAGGTGAAAGCTGGAGGTAATTTTCTGTGTGAGTTTTGTTAGCCCGATGCCATACGCGGAGATCATACACAGGGAGACACACGGAGGGGCTGGCTGAGGCCGTAGAATGCCGCTCTCTCCAAGAAATACAGGCCTTGGACAAGCCATACTTTGCACGGGACCTGGTCTCTGATCGCTGGGAGATCTTGCTCGCTTGAGTCCACGGACTCCACAGATGGGGAATCCGGCTCTTTTCTCTCGGACATGATTTTGAGAAAGGCAGTTTTCCGGTGCCAGTGTGTCTTCAAAAGAGAACTCAATCAGTTTGTTCGCGAGAGCACAATGGGAGATACAGCAGTGTCGCAAAGACAGGAGAACAAACAGGCGAGGATGTACACATTAAAGAAGCAGTCCTCTTGGACTCCATAAGGGCCCAGCCTTGACAATTGTGAACACGTCGCTCATCGGGTGATTTTCTCTACCCCCCCTACAGGACCATAAATTCCTTCTTGAAGGCAAGTAAGCGCCCCTAGCAAGGAAGTTTTCGTGTGGTACATAAAAGACAGGGACCCCTAACAGCTAAGTCGGCAACTTTACCAAGAATGAGTACTTGTGCGCCCCAACATGAATTCGACCCACTCTATCTGACAATCAGATCGATCTGAATGCAACTAATCAGGCCCTTGCATCACGCGATAACATTGCCAGCGCCGTGGCGGACGGAGTCTTCCGTCAGTCCCGTCTAGCTTAGCGTTGCCGCGAGCTGGGAAGCTTAGCGTTGCCGACGGATGACTTCGCTCTGTGCGCTTGGAAGGGTATTGCAATAGATTCATGGATGATTCCTTAAGCTATCTACATGATGCGGCAGGCGGAAGTGCTAGTGCTCATGCGATACCACTGCATAATTTGCTGAGTTGTGCGGGAGTGTGGCAGGAAACCACATCATTTGCAGCTGGATCAAATTCCCCTGCCTGCCTACTCGGTCACTCCCGTTGTGTTGTGAAGTCAGATGAGAAACAAGCCTTGCTTGAACGATATACAGCTTGTGCTAGATCGGTCGTCTTCTGCTTGATCTAGTCTCGTTCCAATCTGCAGTGGCCCGTACGCTGATTCATACGGTGTTCTCAACTCAGAATGCCTCCTAGAGGTCGATTATGGATCAATATTTTACTGGTCAGCCCAAGTACGCATAAACAAAACCTCCGGCTTATCACGAGTCCTGAATTCTTCATCGACCTCATACACAAGATCCTTACCCGCACCCTCCGCTTCAAATCCAAACCTCCTGTACACAACTCGCCCCATAGGTGACGCCTCAGTGGTGCACTCTAACCCTCCCCTCCGCTTGGCCTCCTCGAGGCCCCATGCCACTAGCTTTCCCGCAACACCTCTTCGCTGGAAGGCTGGGTCGACCGCACATATATCGAGTATAAACATAGCTGGTGGGTCTGATTTTGCTTTTTCACGAGCGAGTGAAACCCGCCGTTTCCGCACGGAGCGATACATCTGGCTCGCGAAGCGTCTCTCGGTCGGAGTCAAAGCCGCGAGGTCCGCAGGGCTGTCCGTCGGCGGGTCGCCATACCCGTCCACAAAGGAACCTTGAGTCCAGATGGCCGCACCGACGATTTTGAGCTTGAAACCGTCTTGGGGATCTGGCAGAGTCGCCTTCAAAATGACTGTATTAGGGTGGCCGTCTTTATTCTTGGTCGAGGATTGCCAGCGCTCAAGGAGCTTGGAGGCGCCTTCTCTCTGGCCGTCGGAGGAATTCCAGTTCGGATTCATGGCTATCCAAATTGAGTCTTTGATTTGGCGGCCAAAGGCTTCGCTCATGCAGTGATAAATTTGGGTGAAATCGTCAGGACTATCGACCGGTTGGACGAGTACAGTGGTTGACATGGCGGATGATTGCTTCTCAGCCCACAGTAAAGGCCCGATTTTGTCGCGCAATCTTCAGAAGATACATTAAACTGACAATATAGGGTGTGATTAAGAAGAATCCAAGCAGGGGAAGAAAGGGTCATCTCAACTGTGAACTCGACTGCTATTTGAATTGCTACTTAGTAAAGAAGGTTGACAAATAGAAAGCTGTAGCCTCTACCATAATCACTACTATCACTGCAGCTATCACTACAACTGTCCCCAAATGCCGCTACTCAACTACTGCCAGCCACGTCGCTACTGCTACCACTATCGCTACTATTCCTGCACTAATAGCAAGGATAGCAGCTGAAGTACTTCAGCCCTCTCCCCGCTTCTCAAAGCTGGCGCGCGGCATCGGGGCGGCTAGACGGCAAGGGCTTGCTGAGCTTACAGTGACGGCGTTCACCTTGCCGAAGCACGGAAGTCTACGGGCCACTGAATTTGACTATCGCTGCATTACTGTAGAATGGACCTCTCCATAGCATAGTGTCGGCAAAAGAGGTCCCAGGGACATGGACCATGGTAAAGTACCAAGGTAGGTGTATAGTCCTCATATAAGCCGTATTACTTCTAGTCTGTTACTAGATATAGAGACTACAGAAATCTACAGTTCTCATCGTCGTGTACAGCCAGAGCCAACGTGATAAAATCAATCGAAATGATGGAGATTGTGTCGAAGATTGAAAGCAACGTGCGGGAGGAGGTTCAACTTGACACCAATGGATGGGCCCCTGAGGTCGCAATTTCTGGCAGCTTGGGACTCCTCCTATCTGTGTATCTAAGGACACCAACATCCTTATTTCATGTATGTACCAGCACGTCTGGTCAACTGTGGGATGCCAGAATTGCAGTCGATCAAGATTGCAGCGCGCACGACTTTCTCGAGAGCATTGGAAAATCCTATCAGCAGAACCTCGCATTTCCGGTCACATCGCAGACATTCTGGTTGCGTACAGACAGTTTCGAGAACTGGGCAACATCCAACGGGGAGGCTTCTGATTCACGGAGTTCTGCTATACCACGTCAGATCCTTTGCACAGTGAAAGAGTTACAAGCATCGCGTTCGCTGTACCTGGAGATCAGCGAAGGGAGCTCTTCCGCTAATGGAAGATTTCTCAGCCAACTGGCACACGTTACCAGACAATTCCTGGCTGCAACGAGTTGCGGACGGACGCTGCGGGACCTCGACTTGATGTGTGATCTCGACCGACGAGACCTGCAGCGATGGAACCAGCAAACCCCGTCAATGATAGCATCTACAGTCCACGAGACGTTTAGACAGAGAGTACTACAGAGCCCCAGATCACAAGCTGTGGAGTCTTGGGACGGTGGGCTTACATACCTGGAGCTTGACGCCCTGTCCTCGCGTGCGTGCTCACTACTGCTTCAAGCGGGAGCCCGTCCAGGGGATTGTATTCCTCTCTGCTTTGAAAAAACAATCTGGACCGTTGTGGCAATGCTGGGCGTCCTGAAGAGTGGCTGTTCCTTTCTGCTCATGGATGTCTCGCACCCCACAAGTCGACTACAGACACTCTCCAGGCAAATCAAGGCCACCATTGTCCTCAGCTCCTCTGCTCAGAAAGATAGAGCGATCAGTCTGGTATCCCGAACCATTGTTGTGTGCGCTTCCTCATTGTCAGCTCCTGCAGGAAACGAGCCCTATGAGATCGGAGTTAGTCCCTCTGATGTAGCGGTTGTGGTCTTTACGTCAGGGACTACGGGAACGCCGAAAGGGATTCAACTCGAGCATAGATCGATCTGTTCCAGTCTTTCTGCTTTGGCAAATCTTTGCGGCATAGCCAGGCAAACCCGATATTTCCAGTTCTCATCTTACGCATTCGATGCCGCGTTCGGAGAGATTCTCATGACCTTGATGCGTGGCGGTTGCGTCTGTATTCCTTCCGACGCAGATCGTATGAATAACTTTGCAGAATCGATACGCAACTTCAATGCCAATGCAGTCCTTCTCACGCCTACCGTTGTACGCTTACTATCACCATCAGACGTCCCGTGTCTGACAACACTCATTTCTGGCGGAGAGAAGGTGACGCAAGATATCGTGGGGCTGTGGGCAGATAAGCTGGACTTGATCATAGTATACGGTCCTGCGGAAACTACAATAGCATGCATCGGGAAGAAGGCTCGTCCTACGGGTGATGATGCTGTTCGGATTGGGTTTCCTGTCAACAGCCGTGCTTGGGTAGCCCGCCTGGATGATCCGAATCAGCTTGCTCCGGTAGGAGCGATCGGAGAGTTGGTGGCTGAAGGTCCGGGAATCGCACGGGGCTATATCAGTAATGAATCGAGCAATGCGGAGGTATTTCTCGACTCTCTGCCGTGGGCAAAAGCGTGGGAGTCGATCGTGGCCTCCACGGGACGGAGCTATCGAACCGGTGATCTGGTTCGATACGCCGACGACGACGGAGAGCTTATTTTCGTCGGTCGACGCGACCGCCAGGTCAAACTTCGTGGCCAGAGGATTGAGCTTGACGACGTTGAGAGTAAACTGAAACAGCATCTTCGACTTCCTGAAGCAAACATATTCCTGGAAGTGCTTCGTGTACACGGCACTTCCAACTTGGTGGCTTTTCTTGGGCACCCCAGTATCCACGACATCCCTAGACAGGATGTTGAGGGGGACCCCACACACATGAGTGAAGAGATGAAGCAAGAGATCAACGGCCTTCGTGCACGCATTTCAGATGAGCTTCCCGCTTACATGTGTCCCGTCGCATGGATACCCTTAAGGGAAGTTCCCCTGGGCCCCACAGGGAAGCTTGACCGGGGCAAGCTCTTGAGCCTCGGGGAGCAGTTCTACTCCAGATTGCGAGCGGGTGAACAAGAAGACAAAGGCCTGTCGCCTGTCGAGTCAGTACTGGCCCGGATGTGGAGACAAATTCTTCCATCTGCTCAGAGTCTCACCCCAGACGCCAATTTCTTCCAGCTCGGCGGGGACTCACTCCGATGTATGAAACTGGTGGCGATGGCCAACCAGGAAGGATTTCATTTGACTATGGAAAAGGTGTTCAAAACCCCAACACTATCCGGCATGACCACCGCCATACGGAGTGTTCCTGCTGCTGCAGACCATGCTGATGAATCCAATCCACGAGTCGTCCCAGCCTCATATTCACTTGCACAAGACGATCCTTCTGAGCTACGGTCCTTGCTGCAGGAATACGGCCTTGATCATCAGGAGGTCGCGGGTATATTTCCTTGCACAGGTCTCCAAGCAGGGTTGTTTTCGCTTTCGCTGGCGCTACCCTCCTTGTATTCGAGCCAGTTTGTATTTGATTTCTCCGCTGCTGTGGACATCCAAAGGTTCAAGGCAGCATGGGAGAGTGCGATTACTGCCTTCCCAATTCTGAGGACAGCAATCGTGCCGTCTTCTTCCAGCCTCGTTCAGGTGGTCCTCGGATATCGCACGGAGTGCACTGAGGTCAGGCAAGATCTTGAATCATTCCTGGCTGCAGACAAGGCGGTCTCTTTTCAACCTGGTCAGCCTCTTAGCAGGCGTTACCTCGTCCAGGACCCATCTTCCGGTCAGTCTCATTTTGTGTGGATGCTTCACCACGCAGTATTCGATGGCTGGAGCTTAGAATATGTGGTCGATCATATTCGCCATAATTATTACTCCCACACAGAGACTGTCAAGCCAACAGGAAGCTTCCGAGAATTTGTGCAGTTCGGCGAGGGCCTGGACCAAGATGAATGTATTTCATTCTGGGCAGAGCAGCTCAAGAATGCACCAACACCGTCATTTCCCAATTTCCCGAAGGCCGGGCATCTGGCAGCAGACAGAACTCGTTTGCGGCACACCATGGCAGCCCCAATCGTAGCCACCACAACTACAACGGTCCTGGCCCGAGCATCGTGGGCTCTACTCCTTTCAGAGTACGAGGGTTCAGACGACGTCACTTTCGGAAACTCCCTTCATGGACGCAATTCCCTGCCTCCTAAGCTGCAGGATGTTGTTGGGCCCACCATCACAACTTTGCCGATTAGGGTGCGAATTGGCCGCACTCAAACCGTTCTTGGATTCTTAGAAGGCCTCCAAGAGCAGTTTTCAGCCATGATCCCTTACGAACAATTTGGCCTCTCCCGAATCCTGGGCATAAGTCAGGATATCCAAAATGCCGCCTCGTTCCGTACCCTCTTGATTGTCCAACTCGCAAATACTAAATCCCTGGATGAACAAGGCATCAGGCTGGACGAAGTTGACAGATCCCTACACGAATATCCATTGGTACTTACTCTTATACCTTGGAAGTCTCAGATTGAAATAGTTGCCACATTCGACAGCGATGTCATTTCGCCGCCGCAGGTCCAAAGAATTCTTGAACAATTCGAGCAGACGTTCCACGAACTCAACACAGCGCCTAGAGACACCCGACTCGGCGAACTGGACCTCGCAAGCAAGGCAGACAAGTTGACCATGTTTGGGTGGAACGCTAGGCCTCATAAGGCTTACGATGTCTGCGTTCATGAGTTGATCCGAGAGCGAGTAATACACTTCCGAGCTTCGGCGGCAATCTATTCTAGAGACGGCACCATGGACTACGCGACCTTAGATAAGCTGTCTGACGGCTTAGCAGTGAAGATGGTGCGATCTGGGCTGGAACCAGGCAACACTGTGGGTGTTCTTTTCGAGAAGTCGCAGTGGGCGATAGTGAGTATTTTGGCCGTCATCAAAGCAGGCTCCGCCTTCGCGCCACTGTCACCCACGTACCCGCGAGCACGTCTTGAAGGCATTGCCAGCGATGCTGGTATCAAAGTCGTTCTCTGCTCTCCACTACAAGAGGAAGCGTTCCCCAATCCACCTTGGCGGACTATTGTCGTTTCTGGCGACACAGCTTACTCTTTCACACCCGCTGCGCTGGTCCATGGCAAGGTTGCGACCCCGGACAGCCTGCTCTACATCCTCTCAACATCAGGGACTACGGGGAGCCCCAAAATTTTTGGAGTACAACACAAGAGCTTTGCCACTGGTGCTATGGCTCGTGCGCCTTTGCTCAAACGTGGGCCCGACTCTCGCGTGTTACAATTCGCACCATATGCCTTCGACCCGAGTGTCGAGGATATTTTGACCACCCTCATGTTCGGCGGCTGTATCTGTGTACCATCAGACGAGGATATCATGGGTGATATCAGTGCGTTTATGAAAACCGCGCGAGTCAACTTTGCCAATATCACTCCCTCCGTGGCCTATACATTGAAGGAGGACGAATTGCCGGATTTGCAGATCCTGCTGCTCTCCGGAGAAGCTCCTGACCAACCCCTAGTGGACAAATGGGACGGCATCGTACAACTCATGAATGGGTACGGGCCGAGCGAGTGCTCCGTCAAGTGCGCTATCAACTGCAACTTGTCGCGCAACGACCCTAGGAACATTGGCCACAGTGCTGGAACCAGTCTATGGGTGGTGAGGCCCGAGAACCACAACCGCCTCACTCCTCTTGGGGCAGTGGGGGAACTTGTCATCGAGAGTCCACACCTGGCAACAGGTTATATGAACCGCCCTGAAGCTAATGAGGAGAAATTTATCCTCAGTCCACCGTGGTTGCGAGACTTCCGAGACGGCCACATAGCGCAGGTGTACAGGACGGGCGATCTGGTCAGGTACATGGAAGATGGCAGCATCTTGTACATCGGGCGTGCGGATATGCAACTAAAACTGCACGGCCAGCGGCTTGAGGGTGATGAGGTGCGGCAACGCATTCAGGAATCCCTCTTCGACGCGCAGCTTCAAGTGATTGTCGATATCGCGAGATTTGAGGGTCAAGATTCCGACGTCCTCGTCGCTTACCTGGCCCAGAAAGGAGAGTACCGGGGAGGTGAAATGGACATCGATCACGTACTACAGCAGCACCTGACGGATATGAAGGAACACATAATTCGCCAGATAAGCACTGCTCTCCCGAAATACATGATACCCACCGTATTTCTGGCGGTGACGAATATCCCTATCACAGCAAATGGCAAGTCGGACCGCCGCGCACTCAGAGCTTACATTGCGCGACAGCGCCTTGGGCCCCACCTGCTTCTTTCTGGAGAAACTACAGTTCAGCCACTTGCTTCTGAGACGGAAAAGCTGCTGCATAGATTGTGGCAAAAGCTTCTTGGGTTGAACGGCGCGAAATTCGGAGCCAATTCCAACTTCTTCGAGCTTGGTGGCAGTTCTTTGGCAGCAATCAAGCTGGCGTCTGCGGCACGAGATCTCGGGCTCAATCTTTCAGCACAGATGATATTCAAAAATCCGGTTTTGTCCGCCATGGCTGCTCGGATGGTACCTCTGAAGGAGACAAGAACATCCGGTCCATCCAGGTTCAGCCTACTTGGAAAAATTGATCGCAGTGTCGACCAACTGAGGAAAAGCCTTGTGGCTCACAACATCGACGAGCAAGCTGTTGAAGATGCATATCCCCTCACAAGTCAACAGCAACGTTACATGGAAGGGGAGATGATCTCGCCAGGGGGTACTACTCACCGGCACATCATGCAACTACCGGCCAACATAGACTTGGTCAGGCTTGAGACTGCTTTGCGGCGTGTTGTGCTGGCGAACGCACTTCTGCGGACTCGGATCATCTCGGTATTATCACAATTCGTCCAGGTTGTGCTGAAAGAAGACTTCGCTTGTCGTCACGTTGAGGCCCTATCGTCGCTCGTCTCTGAAGATCGAAAGGTATCGTGGGGTCTCGGACAACCGCTATCACGATTCAGCATCGTGCATGCTGGCTATTCTCAGGATCGATGGCTCGCCTGGTCAAGCGCCCACGTTATATTCGATGGCTGGTGTCGAAAGTTGCTGTTGGAAGACATCGACTATGCGTACCACCACAATGATAACCCTCCAGAACGGCCGCAGTACAACAGGTTTATCGAGTACGTCTACGAACTGGGAAAGGACGAAGATGTTTCCGCGCTTGTGAGGGAACTCGAGGCCACAAGGTTCTGGAGTTACTTCACCTTGGACGGCACAAAGGTCCCAGGTATCACTCACAATTTGACCCTCTGCATCGACTTCCCAGCAACTCTCCCAGCTGAACTATCCTACCCAACCGTGATGCTCACAGCTTGGGCAATAGCTGCAGCACACGTCGAGGAACATGACCATTTCCTGTTCAACATTCTACTGGGTGGTAGAGATGCAGAGTTCACGGGAATAGACAGGCTCATGGGGCCTGTAAGCACTACAGCCCCTTTGGCCACCAGGATCAACCGTGACTCGACCTTCCGGAAGAACGTGGAATTCGTTCAGAAGCGAATAGATCAAGCTGGGAGTGTGAAGCACTTGGTCCGACTCGGCGATAAGCTGCATCGGTTGCTGTCGTCTGCGCCCGTTGTCGTTGTCCATCCTGCCGATGATTACGCGGAAGTAGCAACCAAACACCTTGGACTGTTCAGGAGCCGCGTTGAAACGGTCCGGCGATTCGCAGACGCCATGTTCATGAACTTTTGCCTCCGGCCTGGCAATACCGGGGTAGATCTCGTCATGACGATTGACTCCAGCTTTTTCCCGGAGGATAAGGCGGTTCGGTCCCTCGGCTATCTGGAACAAGTTCTCATGCGTATCTTTACTCCAGGGGGTCTGGATCTGATCATTGGGGAAATGAACTTGGGTTCGGGTGCCCCTAGGAGCCCTGTTTCAATAAACAGTAAGATAGTGTAATGGTCAGAAGCATGCTTCAAGGAGGACGAAGGGCGGGGCTGTCTGAGTGAAGTACTAGGTGGATGTACTTATTGGTTTGTTGAACGCGCGGACCGCCATCCGCCCGGTATAGCTATGTGCTAGTAGTAATTTAGTATCTGCTTATGAATGGCGAGCTTGACTTCTGTTTTGTGTTTCAACTGCCGCCTAATCACTGTAAACTGTGAAGCACAGTCACCAGAATGCCCAGCTGCACTATGCAGTCGCCCATCAACACCCAGCAAGGCGAAAAGGCCATACGACCCCCCATCGTCTCTGAAGGCCCTGCTCTGGACTCAACTCTCCCACCAGAGGGCGGTCTTTCTTGTTGGTTATGTTGCGTTAGCGGTTCCCTGGGTCTGTTCGCTACCTTGGGCTTCTTGAACGCGTTGAGTCCTTCCTTCCGTGAAAAACTTTTATGAGCCGGTCCTTTTGCTGACCTCGACAGCATGGGAATCTTTCAAACCACCTACCAAGAGACTCTGTTGGAGGACTACAGTCCTTTCGACATCTCATGAATCTTTACAATCCAGCTCGCTCTCATATGGGCTCCAGGTTCCCTATTCGGCCGCATTGTAGATGCCTATGGACCGTGCCCGGTCATGCTCCCATGTACCTTTCTTTGCCTCTTCTCACTGTGCATGACGAGCCTTGCCACAGAATACTATCAGATCATCTTGGCAGGGAATTGCTTATGGACTTGGAGCTGGAGGTATTTTCACCACCTGCTTGGTCTGCGTGAGCCAGTGGTTCGTCAAGCAGCGAGGCCTTGCTCTGGGAATTACTGTTGCGGGCAGTAGTATTGGTGAGGAGCAGACTATCCTGTCAGTGTCTGTGACATGCCGATTTAATGTGTGACTAGGGGGAGTGGTGGTCCCATTCTTTCTGCAACTGTTTATGGAAGACGTGGGATTCAATGGCATGGTACGCTCCACGGCTTTAGTTGGCGCCTTCTTCTCAGTGCGCGCCTGCCTCCTAGGAAATGGGACTCAGAAGTGGCATGGATTGATTTCAAGCTGTTCCAAAACTGAGGCTCTGCTTTCTATGCCCTCGGCTCATACTTCGTGATGTGGGGATTGTGAGCACCTTTCGATTATCTACCTGGCATGGCCAAACTGTGGGGAATGTCGGATTCGATGGCCCTCTACCTGATCGCTATTGTGAAGTAAGTTTTGTTCGATCTTGTTGTCCCTAGCAGAGCTGACCTGAGGGCCAGTGCTTCTTCACTTTTCGGACGAATTATCCCCGGGCACATCGGAGACAAAGTGGGATACTTTAACATCATCGTCGCGTCTGCCTTCCTAAGCTGCATTGCGATCCTCTGTTTATGGCTGCCTTTCGATTACCATTCTTCAAATGCCGGCCTTATCGTGTTTGCTGCGGGTTATGGCTTTTTCAGCGGCGCCTTCGTTAGCATCATGATGCCATGTTGCGCAAAGTCTGGCAGACTAGAGACCCTGGGGAGACAGATAGTTATAGCTATCTCGTAGGTCTTCGTTGGCCCCATTTGAATGGTGTTCTATTTTTACTGCACTGATATCTAGCAGCACTCTTAATGGCCTGCCGATCGTGGGAACTATGCTGGGAAGGCAGCATGATTCAACATATATGGGCATGCAAGTATTTGCCGCTGTAACCTTGTTTCTCGGTTTCATGTTCCTCTTGGTTTCTCGTAATGTCCTGGCTGCGGCTCACAGAACATGGAAATACTGTAACTCGTCACGATCCGCTCAGCGTCAAATTTATGCACAAAACAGGCACTGTTCGGGCAATTCCGACATGGTGAGCCGCAGGATGTCCCCGACCCGGCCCAGGAATTGCAGTTCCCGGATGCTGCCCAGCGGCCATTGCCCACTTACCTCCACCACCCCGACGAGAAGCAAGTCTCAGGTGAAGAAGTCGAGTGCACTTAGTTCGAACCAGAAACGCGCAGGATGGTGGACAGCAGAGGGCAGTCGTGCCCGTAGGCAATGAGGTAGATGTCCTCTTGTTCGCCGCAAGCTTCGAGACGCTGCTGGCCCCGTTTAATTGATTCGCCAGGATAGAGCGCATTACCATACCAATCAAGTCGAGGATGTCAAGGATGATATACTCAAGTCAATAGTGCACCCGCACCAACAATCATAAAGCAATGGCACCGTGAACGACTCGGATACTATCGAACCAGAAGAAGATTTCGAAGATGTGGTTGCGATGGTGGGCATGTCCCTCAAGGTTGCAGGTGGCGAAGACCTGAACAAGTTTAGGCGGATACTCAAGCCCAGAGAGTGACAGCACAAAGTCATCACGCGCGAGCAGATGACGCCTGGCAAGTCGCAGTTGGAAAGTACAGTCCTAAGTATGGTGGTAATTACATATAAGACGAACCGCGGCACATTTCCGCAGTTTTTTGCTGGATATTTAATATCTATACCTCCGCTGGAAGGGCAGGACCAATGTTGAATAGGTACATCCATCTAACTAGAGTGGTACAACTTGACCAGGTGGCCCAACCCACGCCAGGCACATCTAACCTTCAGAACTGCCGGGACGAGTATTACCGCCTGGGATGGGAGAGTATACCAAGACCATCCTCCATTGCTCGGGGCCTTGGGGGACTTAGTACACACTGGCGGTCCAGTTGGACACCGTAAACTTTGCGGGACCGCCGGTGAACGGCTCTGTTCCAAACTGCAGATCTAATCGTTGCTCTTGTTAGTGACGTCGGATTCCGCAGCCTGAAACTGGGATTTCTTACTAATCAGGTACTGGGTAGTGGCGGGGAAGCTCTGCGTATCAGAGAGATAGTCAAAGAACGCCTTGAGGTCGCCCCTGTAGGTCTTGATTGGGGCCCCTGCCACGAAGCTGTACGTCTTCTGCTCGGCACCGGCCTGGATGCTGGTACCGTACCACACTTCCCAGGATCTGCCTCCCACCGTGGCTGTGCCAATCTGCTTGCCGATGGGCTGTACCGTACCGTAGCGGGCAAGCCTAGCACACGGCCCAACGCCGGCAAAGTTAGTTTTTCTGGCGTTTTGAGGTGTCTTTCACAGAAACAGTAGGCACTAGGAAGAGGGCTATGTCTATACATACCAAATCATCAGTTCATAATCACCGCTGGATGTGGCGTGGTCTATGTTTGCCGCAGTAAACAAATCGTACGCGACATCGGCCTCGACGTTTTCATTATCCTGCATCCATACCACCCCGGTGCGGATGCTTCTCACATCGCTCACGAGCTTCTTCTCAAAGTTGCCACCGGAGTTAGAGTAGCTTTTGACCGTTCCCTCACCGCCGTTCCAGGTCCAATTGGTGTGCCATGACGCACCACCGTCGCTGGAAGGCTATCAACATAGACGCACTGAGAGCCAGTACCTTGGTGTTCCCCCCACAAGTTATTGTTGACCGAGTATGGGGGGCTCGTAGCGCTGTCGTATTTGGCACACAGCTCCTTGCCCATAGCAGTGGCTGCAAGGGTAAACAGTCCCACGGAGAGCTTCATGTTAGGGATTGGAGTCGATGAGGCAGGATTCAACAGGATCTCAAAGGGAAGAAGGGATTCACTGTTTGTATGGAAGATAGACCAAGAGAGCAGAGTACGACGCAGTTATATAGACACAATTTGGTCATTTATCCTCACTATCATTATTATGATCTTCTGTCTTCCTGGGCCTGAGACATTGATACCAGTTGTATATCAACCTCATTGCGCCCAGATCAGCAATTAGATGTACCTCTTTCGACAGGGCATGTAGAGACAGACCCGCAGCTAGTGTTTGTGTTTCTGTTCTCCGTGATTAACGGGTAATCAGAGCATACCTTGGGTCCTTGGCTCCGCCCCCGACATGGTAGATCAGATACGTAGGACTTTGGGTAACGAGACGGACTTTACGAGACACTACTAGGAGAGATTTAAGGAGCTATTTGAGAGACATTTGATCCACGGTTAGTGGCGCCCGTTTCGCTTTTATTGTTGTCAGCAAATTCAGTTGCATGGGACCGGGGTCTACGGTGTGGGAGACTGGCTAATGGCTTCTAGGGATGGGCGGAACCGCCCATCAGAGTGTAGCTACATGGAACGGCCAAGAGTACCCACCTCCTTGGCAAGGCGTAGCTACCGCCCGTTTCTCTGTGTCTCCATTCGGAAAGACCAGAGGTTGCCGACGACCCCCGAATAGGTGATATCTTACTATCAATTTAGTGGGCAAAGCAGCTGGCAAGAATCACTACCACCTTAGAAATCTCGACAGTCTGCATATGGCCCAATGATCACGAATTGAATCCACTACCTTCATTAGCGCTCGTCTCTTTTTAGGCTGAAGCAGACCCTGCGAACACGTCCTTCAATATGTTCAAAATAACGTTTACCGGGCAGTGGCCTTGGAATTCGCTGATCATTTCTACGGTCAGTGGGAAACTAAAAGCTAGGCTAAAATTTAGCCTAAAGGCACGCTGTCACCTTCCGAACATTATTTGCTTTGCTTCGCTGTCCTGGAAGGGCAAAATACCCTCAGAGGCAAATTGCCTGTTGACATGATTGAACTGTGCTTTTGCAACTTTGCAAGTGGCCTTAGGACGAACTTGAACTTGTTGTTCCTAATATTATGGCTGCAGTGGCCAATGTCTGTCCCAGGGTTCTTGAAACACGAGGTAGTTCAAGATAAGACTCAGTCTAAAACGCGTATATATTTGATGAAGTGGCCCGCTCACCAGTGAAATACATTATTATCCCTCACGAAGGACATCCGTGGTCTTCAGAGGATTATTATAGCCAATAGAAAGCCTATTACCGGAGGGATCAGGATATTAGTCCTTCCGGGGTAGGCAGAGAGCTGCGAGATCCGATTCAGCAACTGGAGACGTTGACGATCCGTTAAGATGCTGTGTTCCTTATACACTGACCAGTGACCACCAGGGAACGGCCACGTCCAAGGCAGCGATGGCAAGCAGCTGGTGGCAATATTATTACTGCATATGGCGTGATAGTTGCTGGCTCGGCTAGCTGTGTACGTCTTTAATATAAACAGAGACCACCTATGCTGGAAGAAGGAAGGGCAACAGGAGGCCAGCGTAGGCAACAGGCTGCGGAGTTTCAACTGCCAGTGTCGGGAAATGGCGGTGGTACAGGTTCTGAACTACTACTGGAGGATTGGATACTCGATGGAGCGAAGTACCGGAGAGAGGTCCCATGAGGTTGTTCCCGATTTTTGCGCTCGGAGCCCGCGGACATTCCGGGTCTGTTCCTGTTACAGTTACTTTCACGGCACAGAAAGAGCAACTGCATGAATGCTTGTCTGCCAGATAAATTCTTTATACAGTAAACCCCTTTATAAGTAACTCTAGTATAAGGAAAACCTCAGATATAGCAACTAATCTTGGTGTATGAATCACATTCCTATAAAACTTATCACTCTAATATAGAGAAATTATGTCCAAAAATTATTTCTCCTATATATAATTCCTTATATTAGGGTATTTTTTTCTGTATGTATACCACTACCTAGCTATTCTAGACCACTTTTAAGAGTATTCTTATAGCTAATATAGGGTTATATAAGTAGTAGAGTATAGCTATCTCTATAGAGTACCTCTCAAAGGCTTTTATAGTATCTTACATAGTATCTACATAGTATAAAATGGTGATTTTAAGAGGAAACTCAAGGAATACTATCTGAGTAATGTCTAGCAGTGTTCAGGTAGAGAAATATATATTTCTAGTGTTGGTTGCTAAAGAATCCATATTCTAGTATAAGGAAATTTTAATATAAGTAAAAGTGGCTGTCTCTGATAGTTGCTTATATCAGGGGTTTACTATATTATAGTCTCACATAGATGTTATATATGTCCAAATTCATAATCAATGATATAGACAGTTATCCTATGAACACTTCTTAACTACACCGCCAGCTTTGATCATTCTTCTTCAGGGAAGTTAGCGTGACGCGCATCGAAAGGCCTTACGGTTTCCATGCTGCAGTTGGACAAACCACGGCCATGGAAGAGGTTGTTGATAAATTCGAGCCATTCTGGTGCGGAAGCTCCAAACACCGGGGAATGTTCTAGCCCAGGATAACTGCTCAGGCGGACAATATTTCCGGCCTCGCAGCTCTTTTTATAGGCCTTTTTGACAAGGGCTGGGCGTACAGTGGTGTCGTTCGCCCCCGAAATCACAAGAAGAGGCCTTGCGGCTTTGTCCCCCTGCGCCGGGGCGTTCATGTCTTGGAATTCCTTGATGGGCGCAAGACCACTAGGGTCGACTTTCGTAATGACTTGCGAGAAATTCAGGCCCTGCATCACGGCAGGCAAAGCAGTGGCGCAGAGCTGAGCGTGTTCCCCCAGTTCAATACGTTTCCGAGCGACGTCAGATAACCATGTTGCCGTGTAGTTGGGGAAAACGGCCCTCAGAGCAAAGTATACCGATGGGATATACGAGAAGGCACCGGAATTCTGAGACTCTTCAGCAGAAGAACCCTCAAGGTTGTCCATTTCCTCGACGACAGCGTCATATATGTGGGTATTCGGGGCAATCGCGACCCCACCCAGATAGCCACTCTCATTGGTCTGCACCAGTTCGTGTTCAGATAGCTTCCAGGAGGCACCTCCACCCTGCGAGTGGCCAATCGACACCCATTTCTCAGAGAGACGGTGAGGGAACGCTTTCCTCGCTGCAATAGTTGACCAATAGACGTCATTGGCATTAGCCCTGGCGGATATATATTTATGGCTTGTGTAGTTGTTTCCAAGGCCAGCGTAATCGGTCCCGACAACAGCATATCCTGAAAATAGCAAAGGAATCAAGGTATCATAATCATAGAGGCTCGAGGAGGTTGATGGAGCGCAAGCTCGGAATACGCCGGACGTTCCATGTGCGAATGCGACAAGCTTGAATGGGCCACCTCGTTGGACGAATGGAAAGGCAACGAATGCGGTGGCAGGGACGGTAGAGTTGTCCAGGTCGACCGACGTGTACTGGATCTTGTATGTAGCGACACCGCCGGGGAGGTCCAGGAGATCGGGGTCAACCGGATGGAGTTTCAGAAGGTCTCCAGGCTTGGAGTTGGAGAAATTATTCGCTGTTGCATAGAAGTCGAAGTCGAAAGGCGTATCAAAGTCGTCTAGGTCCTTGGAGTTTGTTTGATTCAAGGATTCTTGACAGGTCTTTCCGCAACCGTATTGAGCGGCAACTTCCGGAGAGACTGGGAAGTTGGAGGCTTGCTCTGTTCTACAAGCAGAGACTGTGGCAGCTGCGAGGAGTAGAGCAGCTACAGCAGACCGCATTTTTGACGGTGGTGGTGGATAAGGGTGAGGGTGGGAGAATGAATAGGCAATGGCAGGGGAAGGGCGAGGTACTATCAAATGAATCAATACTTCTCCTGGCAAAGCGCGGGGGGAGGGTTTTATGCATGATCGTCCCCAGAGAATTTGCGGGTCTTACGTTTGCGGGGGTGAGTCCATCTAGCCTGGGCAGTATCCTTCCTAGGTTCACGACACCGATAAGCCCTGAATATGCCAGTCTCAAGATCTCTGGGGGAAATGAGCGTCCCCAATCAGTGACCTTCTCCCCACGCACGATACCCGACACTTAGGCGTAGACCGGTGTACTCGGGCATCCAAGGTGACCGTCAATCATTATCTACCCGAAACAGAGAACCTCGGTACCCCTGCATTATGGCTTCACTATCCCCGTTTTGGGCATGAGGATATGCAGCTTTATCGTTGTTGCGTGTGCGTGAATACACCGCTCGGGGTCCGCGGACACCCCCCACAGCAGTGACGCGCGGATCCAGGGATGTATTACTGGTGCGCTCCATGTGTGATGGGTCTCCTGGCCATCCATGTAAGTAGTTTGCTAGCTGACAATGGAGCAATAAATTATATTCACGCCAGCTACCAGCAGTATATTCCATAAACGGTCCGACAAGATCTTGTACCCAGCTCACAAGGTGGTTAATCTCGAAACCAAATCAATTAAGAACGGTTTACAGTATTTAATAGTATCTATATCAACACTTATACAGACCATTTCAGTGACTGTACCTGGAGCCTTATGGAGAGTCTTAGAAGTATTCCAGCACTCAACGGCATTTGCATGAGAGATATTGGCAGGTAAAAGTTGACATTAAGGTTCGGATGCTGGTGTATTTATTAGTATATATCTAATACTTGAAGTTAATAGTAATGTATAGTATGCGCGGCTTGGGAGAGTGGCAGCCTTGATAATAGTCGCAAGAACTTGGGCAGCTCCTCATTGAGAATGTGCTGGCCCTATAGTAAGCAAATATAGTATCTTCGAAAACTTTTCCCCCCTCACCTTTTCAGATGGTGTTAATTATAGACGTTCTAGGACCAGAAGTAGATATAGAGTAATGTTAATGCTAGAGTTGCATTTGGTCTGAGTTTGGGCAAGTTCAAACCCAGTTGGAATTGCGATTTTGAGTCCAAATTTTTGAAATCAGAACCAACCCTGACCCGTTTTAATTTAATGCGAGTCTATCTGCAAAAACTTTCACTAGGCCTTAATAGGCAGTTAATAGCCAATTTATATCTAGTATATTGATTTGATATCTATAGGGTTAAAAGGGTGGTGTTTAAAGACTATTCTTAGACTATAGTGATTATCAAAGGTTGATCTATATATATATATATATCAACTACCACTACTTTTATACCAACCCATGACTAAAATGATTTTAGCGGTTCGGTTATGCAACTCTAGTTGCAGTTAAAGGGTTACTAATCTGATAAAGGAGATCTATAGGGAGAGATAAATAGAATCTTACATGGGCAGAATTACTCGCAGTCTACATACTTAAAATCTGACAAGACATTATTTCAGTTTTGTCCCAATGGCTTGCCGTACCTAATATTCTTGGCAGTCAGATTCGTCAATCTCCACCCGCCAGCCCCGCCTTTGATAAGCGCCGTCAGGCGACAGGTCACAGGACAGATATCAACCCTTTCACCCTCTTCTTCGTATGACTTGTCCTTGGAAGTTTCAATCGCGGCAGCAGACTGTATAAACTCGATCAGACCAGAAAAGCTCTATAACGCTCACGCACGCTACTTAACCCTGAGGCTGGGGAGCCACCACAAAGTCCGCCGGTGAAGCCTTTGGACATTCAATATTGGGCAGATTTGGTGGGTTGCAATTTTTCCTCCTGTATGAGTGAACTTCCGAGTCAGTCACGCTGCATTCAGCCATTCACGCTGCTGCAGTATTGGCGGCGCATACATGAATGAGGCGGGTTCTACATCGGCCTGACGGAAGTACTTGACCTCATTCTGGCAGCTGACAGGTAACAGTTCAGAGCGACCATGAAGCGAGAAACAAACAGAAAGGGTGCCAGAGTAATAGACTGGAGTGTACTGCCTGGTGTAGGAAATGGAGCATGCACGCAATTTGAGGTCGTGCTTTCCAATGAGGCTGGCGGTGCTCAGGGTACAGGCAACCCCGGGTCTCATCACTTGCATTCGCCAGGTCCACTGAGAGCTGTGAAGCACACTAAGGAGGGAGCAGTCTACACAGCAATTGCCAGTGCAAAATTCGGACTGGCAAACAACATGCTCAGCATTGTCTTATGTTCCGATGACGGCACTGAATGGAGCACAAGGATGGCAGTAGTTGGCGATCGGTTAATCGTTCCAGCGCAACAGGCTCAATTGGCTGAACTCTTTATCGCAGTGGGTAAATCTTGTAATAGCGAGTTGACAATACCTGCCAATCTGCAGCTGAGCGCTGACGAGCTTGGGTGTCAAACCTGTGCAGCTCCCTTCTGCGGAGTTGGTGGTCTCATTTACACCCATGACAGCATGGCAAGCAGCCAGTTGGGTAGAGAACTTAAATGTCAGAAGGAAACATGTCCGGCCGTCATTAGCTACACAGATAATGAACATCTATGGGTCGACCGGGTACCACTAAGCCAGGCAGCCCTGACGGACTTTTTGAGCACCCTTGCTGAAAGCGAGACAGTACGGATCGCAGACACATGCCTAGCTTCGGGCGAAAACAGGAAACTCCTTCTGTCGGATAATATGATGTGGTGGACAGAGGAAGTCACCGAAGAGGTGCCACAACGGAAAAACTCCAAACCAGCGAATTGGGGCGGCTTCCAGGACATGTGGCGAAACCACAAGAACCTAAGGGAGTCTAGAAATAGGGCCAAAGTCCTGGTCTGGACGGAGGCTCCGCTGGTCCACACTTCTGTCAAGAGATTCGCACAAGCAGGGAAATCAGACAGCAACGCAAGCAACCCCCTGAGGCTGATACACGTCCAAACACGGAATGTACTGGCAACAGAGGGAATCGAGACGAAACGTTATGCGGTCATTTCGTACACCTGGAGCCAGTTCAGTAAAGAGGAGTTGCTGGAATGGGCAACGTCACGAGCGATGCAGCTGGGGTACGAGTACATATGGATCGACCAATATTGCATTGATCAGAAGAACAAGCAGGAGAAGAACACGGAGATCAAGCGCATGAGAGATTACTACAAGAACGCGGCACAGGTCCTGGTGCTCGTCCCTGACGTGACGAGCTTGGCGAGATTTGATGTGGCATCAACAGACCAGCTGATACATGTGGATGCAGCCATCAACGCATCTAGGGACGTATTGAAGGAGATCGTATCTTGCGAGTGGCTGAAGAGAGTCTGGACCTTTCAAGAAGCATGGGTGGCTAGACAATGCGTGCTGTGTACCAAAGAGCAGATGCTTGACGGCACGGTGATGGATGCCTTACTTGGCTTGCTCAAGTATGAAGCTGTCAACAGACCCAGAGTGATGTGCATCACCAGCAAGTCGATAGCAAACCCAGTGGTTGCAAACCCTAACTCAGTCGTCCGGGAGGGGGTATTCAGCCACCGTCAGACTGTGGTAGGATCGACAGACCGGTGGATATTACAAAGCGGACGAAACGTATACGAGCCGCCGCGGCTCACGCTTGTCCAGGCCTGGGAGGCCTCACGGGGAAGAAACACAGCTAATGAAGAAGACAGAGTATACGCTCTGCTGTCTTCTGTCGAGGGCGGAGACAGAGTAACAGTCGAGCGCGGACGGTCTCTGCTGGCTGTCATCCAGGACTGTGTGGAGGCGGGTATTGTCACTGCTGATCTGCTAGCCGGCAATGATCCCTCGACGGTGGCAGATAGGTGCTGGATGCCGGATCTAACAGGATCAGGACCGCAGCATCCGTTGCGGGTGGCAAGTGCTAGTGAGAAACAGCAGCAACTGGTTTGGCGAGGAGGCAGGGTGTCTGTGAAGGGGAAGTCTTTCGGCTTTGCTGACGTGTCCGTTTGGCTACGTATCGCACTCGTGAAGACTGAGGATCCGATTCAACAGTCTGAAGGGAGCGACCGGCCCTGGATTCAATTCGCTCTCTCAACGCGGCAGAAAACATGGACACCGAAAGACCTGATCACTTCTGATTTCCTCTTAGTGCAGCCAATGCCTGGGTGCACGCAGACCGTCCTGGTGTCTGGTAAAAAGCTAACGGACGGGTCGTTTCACCGGAAGAAAGGATATATAGTCTGGCTTAAAAAGTCAGGAGAAGAGTGGCTGCAGGACAGCCAGCCGGTAGAAATTGGAGCGTGCTAAGAATGTAAGGAAGCAGATATTTCTGCACCAGCAAAGCATTTCTGTATGGCTCTGAGAGGAGAGCCTATACTGCTCTGGGTCAGATGGAAGAGGAGACAAAACACTCGCGATTTTTCACCAGCATGCCTATCTCCCTGATCTAGATCCAACCATCAGTCTTTCTGGTGTTTAGTTTCGGAGCTTACCGTAGACTAATCTGCTGAAATACGTAAGGTAGTAATAGCTAGAATTTGATCAATACAGACAGTAAAGAAGACAGGCACTAATAATGAGATGAAACCTGTCATGGTGACTGAACTTCGGACTTGAAATCGCAGTGGTTTAGTTCCAACTGGGGTTGCACTCGCCTGACCTCAGACTGAATGCAACTCTAGTGGCTTGATGACATTAAAGCCTACTGCCGCGTTTCATGGCCGATCGCCCTAATTTGCATGGAATAAGCATCATATGTTGGTTTCGTCCCAGCCTGCAAATCTCGCATCCTGGACCCCCCCATTTCGGATATTCCGGCCTCTCCAGCGACGGGTTATCCGGGGCGGCAGAACAATCACCGAAAGGTTCTAATGTCCGACTCGAAGCTTGTCCATTCTCAAATCAGGTTCGCTAAAGTGTTCATACCATTCGCGCTTCGTATGCATTGAGCTTAAGGATAAAAGCTCTTTTCCATCCGGTCTGCATATGTATTTGCACCTATCCATCTTCGCCTTGCCTCCACGCAAATACAAAGAAACATCTTGTTCGACTCATCTCCCACCATGTCTCTCGCCTTCACAAATCAACCGCCCGAGTCGAGGGTCCCGTACGCCATCCCTCAATTGGAAGGCGAACGCATCACTATTCCCGGTAGCAAGGGAACCTTTCGCATTCTTGCATCGTCCAAGCAGACAAATGGATTGATGGCAGTCTTCCAGAGTGGCGCAGTGTTATCTGATGCCCCAGGATTCCATTACCATAACCACGCGCACGACGTCTTTCTTGTAACGAAAGGATATTTGAAACTGTGGAATGGGGATAAATGTCGGATTATGGGACCGGGCGATTTCGCGTATGTGCCTCCTGTGAGTAGATATCTTGTTTTCCGTTTGATTAGTGCTTAACTGACAAAGCTCCTTACAGAAAGTAATTCACAATCCCGAGATGCTTGGGCCCCATACCGAGATCTACGGTCTGATCACCCCCGGCGACTGGGTAGATTTCTTCCGCTATGTCTCGGAACCGTACGAGGGGATCCTTGTGCCCGAGGACGACAACCGTGACTTAAAGTCCATCCTCATCCCCAAAGTCATGGCCGCAAAAGACAAGTTTGACGTCGTCTTCCAACCCAACTACCAACCTCCCGAGGTGGCTGAATTTACTAAGGATGACGAGAAAATTCCAGATGGCCACGAGCCATACTATCTGCGCTCTAATACAGGCCCGAAATGGATGCTGGGTGGTGTGATGTCCAGACCCTTCATCACCACGAAACAAAGCAATGGCGTCTGCGCGATCTCGAGCATCGAGTCGTCCAAGGTGTACAGTGAGGGTCTGCTCTCTAAGCGCATGACCTTCAAGTCTGTAGATCACTGTTTCTGTGTGCTGGAAGGTACTTTGACCGTATGTCTCAAGGGTTATACTGACACGGTATTCCGTGAGGGAGAGACGGTGGTGGTTCCCGCTGGTCAGGCGTTTGCTCTGCGATTTGACAGCAAGTATGTGCGGGTGTATTCATTCACTGATGGCGATGGCATTGAGTCGCTGGTGCACCGGCTCGGAAAGCCGTTCGAGGGATCCATCCTGCCTGACAAGGAGCCCGAATGGGACTACAGTCAAGTGCAGGCTGTGGCTACAGATCTCAATGTGGAAATTGAACTGTGAATCATAGGATTAGGCAGTTTCTCATTACGTACATAGGCAGGAATATACAGATGGCAAACGAACCCCCGCAAGTATCATCCTGTCAACTGGACCCGACCCATCAGGAAATAACTGGGGCCCTTCATTTGTTCAAAGCATAAGTTAAAAGGTGGAGAAGCGGGGGATCGGGGAATCCCCACGGCAATTCATCCCGGCTTCGTAGCCTTCCTCGGGATATCCGCTTGCCGAAGAGAAGATCGTGGCCTCTCGTGGAACGTCCATCTATCTATCTACAGCCACGCTTGACAGCGTATTCGAAATATAATCGTCTCAATGAACGATAAAATATGCGTGGATGATGCAGCATCAGCCTCAACGATCCTCTGCGACCCCCCCACAGCGTCCGAAGCGACAACGTGCCGCGCAGGCATGTGACAGGTGTCGCCTGAAGAAATATAAATGCGATGAATTGTATCCCTGCACTCACTGCAAGAGTAAGCTTGTCACATATACTGGTTTCGATATGATAAGAGGATTAATTACGTGCAGAAAACCAGCTCGAGTGCATCTATCAGAGGAATTACCGGCAGCGCGAAAGCGACCGGTCAGCCAGGTATGTTTCCAATAGTTCGCTCGTTCTAGATAGATAATGGCCCTGTTGACTCTATTAGCTATGTAATCGAACTAGAGACGAAAGTCGAAGAGCTAACCGCAAAGCTGCGCGTGGCCGAGTCGAAACTCGTCTCCAATGCTCATCAACCGCCAAAAGTTGTGACGAGCTCGAGACCCGGACCAGCTCCCCGGGCAAGCATCCATGCTACACCATCGTCTATGCCGCCAAACGGAACTACTCCAAGGGAGGCTTTACCGTCGCCCTATGACGCGCAAGAGGAAGCATGCGACACTGTCGAACACGAAATCAGCGAGCTGAATCATCACACTAACGGGATCGAGTTTCACGGCAGTTCCTCATCAGCAGCACTGATAGGGCATCTTCAAACAACTAGGGAGAAAGACCGCGCGGAAGAACGATGGCATTTTCGCGCCCCAGAGGCGGGGTTTTCGCTGATCTCGACGCTGCATAATTCCAGTTTCTCGCCTTCGTGCACAGTTGGTTCTGCGCAGTTGGCGCCACTACAGGATCATAACTATTACTTTGAGCATGCGCACGCGTTCATCAATGGGTACTTTGAGAATATCCATTTCATCCATCCGTTGATCGACAAGGAGGACTTCTATGCCCGGGCCCGTGATCTCTGGTTCAATAAGACCCGGCAGCCGGAGCCGAGTTTCGTCGCTTTGTACCTCAGTGTACTCTCGTTTGGAGCTTTGGTCCGTGTTTGGGATGAGGAGAAGCTAGGGGGACTGACGCGGTTTGAATGGAGTCGAAAGTTGTTCAGTGAAGGGCGGATGTATCTGAATCACCTGCACTTTTCTAATAACCTGGACACAGTCCAGTGTTTATACTTAATGGTAAATGCAGCTTGCCAATTATGAGGATATACGTCGGGCTAACTTCATCCGAGGCAAAAATATGCCAAAACGAGCTAAATCCTAACTGTGAGTGCCATCCAGCCTGCTAGGTGAACAACTACTGATTAAAACACGAGTGGCCTATATGTACTTGGGCCTCGCTGTACGTACTTGCTTGGCGGTCGGTTTCAACCGACACGTACGCAATCCAAAGGACGAACAACGTTCGGGCTGGATCTCGAAGACTTGGTGGTGAGTACAAGCAAGCATACTTCAAGATCATGGTACTCAGCCTCTTTTGTGGTAGGGGCATCTTCTCTCTCGAAATGTAAGTCCACTATGGGTCTCACACCAGACCACGTGTTGATGATGTTGCAGTGAAATCAGTTTCTCTATCGGACGTCCCGACACCCTAGGTATGGACGAATATCACAACCGCGGCCTCCCAGAACGCGATGACTCCGAATACGCCATTATACCCTGGATGGTGGACTTCGCTCAGATCATCCGGCGCGTATCCGTGCAAATCTACCACTCGCGCATCACTTTGCAGGAAAAACTGCAGGCCGCTTTAGATATCGAGGCAGATCTTGACCAATGGATGGCCCGACTGCCGGACCGAATTAAACCAGATATCCTGGGGCACCAGCCATCCAGCGGCGCATTGAAAGACCCCAAATGGGCGCGCAGACAGCGTTTGGTTCTGCAGATTCGTAAGTGCCAAGATCTATAGTCGACCCATGGAGACGCTGAGTTTGCAAAGGATACTATAACGTGAAAATGTTGCTGTTTCGCCCGTTTTTGAGCTACTTCACTCGCAAACTGCGACACACACCCACGGAACCAGACGAAACCATCGCAAAGTGCCTGGACGCAGCCACGAAGACAATCGAGGTCATATACGACATCTTCCGCATCCACACGTTCTTCCGCTGCTGGTACCCTCCATCCCCTCCATCCCCCGCCACCAGAACCAACCCCGGCAAAATTTGGAGATCTAACGAGCACATTGTAACAGGTGGTACAACACAACCTACGTCATGTTCGCGACATTGACCCTTCTCCTCCCCATGTCCGAGCTGGGAATGTGTGTTGAGACAGTCCCGCTATTACGGTCTGTCGACATGGCGGTCGAGATTTTAGAAGCGATGGACGAGTCCGTCGTCGCGAAAAAGTCCGTCGAGATCATCAAGCACTACCTTAAGGACTTCCGCAGCTCGGAACCTCGGCCTGGCCCTGCCAGTTACGATGGCGATGATGCCAGTATCCACACTCATGCAATGCATGAACAGGAGCAGCCGCCTGGCTCGGATATCCCGGTATGTTGGGACCTGGGAATCTTGATAGGCTTGGCTTTTGTTGGATACTAATCGTCAAATAGGAGTGGGCCTACGGTTTCGCATTACCCGACTACTCGTTTGAAGGGATTACGAGGTTGTTTGATGATTTGGGTGGGCTTCCCATGTTGGATAGCTGATACTGTGCGCGGTTGCTGGACGGGGACGGCTGTATATATGATTAACTGTTGTTCATAATACATATATGCACTGGCAAGGGACTTCATGAAAGTAATAGTATAATGCGAGTCTCTCATAGAATATCTAGCTCTGCCAGAAAGAACGAGGACTACATATTTGCAGACGTCTTGGAGAACAATCCCGGGTGCTGCCTAACTGCATTCCACATCTTTGATCACATCGTAGCCATAAAACCAAGGCTGGACCTATGGGCATGTTCTGTATGTGTAGGCAGCTGGTTGTCCCGCCAGATGTAGAAAAAGAAAGTTATATACTCACCATCTACTAGGAAAGGCGTCCTTGATCTTCTAGGTTAAGACAAGATCTCACCCTCGTTTCCTGCTGTTTGCCATCTGGCTCGTGGAACTATGTCTCTAAAAGGAATATCAATACTGTTATATTAGTACGAATGAGTTTGGAGACTAAGCTGCTTAAAGAACTCCTTACTAATGGCTTTGCTGTGGGATTTGTGTACGCTCTGATATAAGTGGAGGATCTAGGGTAGATGGGTATTATTTGTTATGTGGCTAAGTGGTAACCTAGAGCCGCACCATCTTTGAGAGATAAGTTAGTGCCTATGCGAGGTAAGGGAGCATAGGATGGCAGATGTCAATGCTGTGCTGAGTGAATATCACAACTACTTCTGCTGTATGACTGGTAAGCGTGTATGACACTACTACAATCAGACCACTGAGGCCAGCATGGGAATAATAATGCAGAGATGACCTTCCTAAGAGAGTCTAACCCTTTGTCTGAGTTCAAAAGATATTGCTGAAGTTGGTGGAAGAGACAAAACAACCGCGAAGAGGAAGTGACCTAAGAAAGAAGCAGCTCTCGTGATACTTTAATACTGTACAGTTCCATCAAGCAGCCCAGTAAGCGTCTCCATCAGCCCATCAGCTGGTTGCTAAATTGCCGGGCCGTTCCTCTGTAAGGTAGTAGATGATTGCACAGCAGTATGGGCTGCTCGGAAATACCGAGACTTGTCATATGGGCCGGAATTCCCTGCCCCTCGGCACAATTGCAAGGTAAAGGACGGCTGGAAATTCTGGATCAGTCCTCTGGTTTAAGAATCTAAGGGCGTCAACCATGCAGGGATTTTCGTGTTGTACGAATCATTAGTTGAGCCAATCGCTTACAACAACTGCGTCAAGTCTTCTATCTTAGGTCTACCTCAGTTTCTGGCACAGATACCTGCCATGGTTTAAAAACTTAATGAGAACCACTCATCGAGTAACGAATCACAAAGTCCGAATGTGGACCCGAAATGGTGGACCCGAAATGGTCCCGACACACTTCCGCATCCACGACATATCTGGTTCTTTCAGCAAGCAACGGATATGACTGGCTTGCCGAGACATACCCTTGTCGAGGTGCAAGGTGGCGCATCTAGCTCCACTGTGTCGTCCACGGATGACCAATACCCCACGGGGAACATATTGCTGAAGACAAGTTGGGAGCGTTCTTGACGCTTGAAGTGGTCAGGAACAGCATAGCCGAGAAGCAGGCTGTTGCCGAAAGGACGAGATATATGTTTGTGCTCTCCCTTGGGCTGCATTCTCAATCCACGGTTTTCGGGCTGCCGCAGGACTACATATTCTCACTCACATCACAACCTACATCCTTGTCAGATTAATGGACTCCGGCTGCCCAGCGAACAACACCATGGCGGAATCAAAGATCGATCCCAGGGTATGCGATCGCTCTAGCCGCCATTTGACTATCCTGTGAGGGCGATGATGATAACTGAATTCAACAGAAATACCCTCGGCGGGTGAGATATCCCGCCCTGCTCACTGTCAACATGTTTGTCTTTATGGGCAATATGTACTCGGTACGTACAGACGACTCGAGTCACCCCCGACAATCAAGGACTGACGATATTGGTACAGTCTGGGATAGCCACTGGTTTTGAGAGCTTGGCGAAGGACCTTCATCTTCCCTTTGCAAAGCTGTCTGACCTGATTAGCTACTCCGTGCTGGCCATGGGCTTAGCAAACATTTTCTGGATGCCCCTGGCGCTGTGTTTTGGCAAGCGTCCTATTGTCCTCATCTCTATGGCGATGTTTGTGATCGGTGTTATCTGGACATGTGTCGCCAAAGACTACAATAGCCTCATGGGAGCACGTGTTTTTGCCAGTTTCGGTATGTCTTTTCGGCTCTTGATGATCACGCATCCACTGATTATATTAGGATACGGTTCGATCGAGTCCTTGGGGCCCAGTATTCTCGCAGGTACGTTTGCATAAGTATGATTCTAGATCAAGCGTCATCTAACGTGCCCTAACAGATCTATTCTACGAACGAAACTATGCCAGTGCGATGGCTACCTATGCTTTCTTTCTCTCGGGCGGATCGCAGATCGGACCCGTGATTGCCGGCTACCTGGTTGCATCAAAAGGCTGGCGCTGGTTCTTCTACCTGTGCTTGATCCTTGCTGCCGTTAACTTCGTGACGACCTTTTTCCTGTTGCCGGAAACCCTTTATGAGGCCGAGACTGCGACTGAACCCGAGCCTCAGGAGGATTTGGAGAAGGTCTCCCAGCGACACATTGCAACGGTATCTTCGCGGTCGAGCAGTGATTCATTTGGTTATGCGGCCTACTGGAAGGCACTGTTCAGGGTTGGTATCTCACAGGAGGCCCGTAAAGAGGGAGTTCTGAAATTCTTGGGCTACGCCTTTGCCCTACCGCTGCCGATGATCCTGATACCCGGAGTTTTGCTCGCTTCAATCATGTATGGTGTAATTCTCGGAGGGTAAGCCATTCAGTTTCCATACCAGGAAATTGGAAGCACCGTGTGCTGACTATATAAGGGTTGTCTCCATCTCAACTCTCTGCCCATCCCTTCTCTCGCCGCCTCCCTACCTTTTCACGTCGGCTGATCTCGGTCTCTTCACCCTTAGCAGCTTTGTTGGCATCGTCATTGCCTTCCCTATCGCCGGCCCTCTCACCGATTACCTCTCGCAATGGCTGCGTCGCCGCAACAATAACATCCACAAACCGGAGCACCGCTTCCCAGCCCTCCTCGTCCCCTTTCTCCTCTGCCCCTTGGGCCTAATCATATTCGGCTACTCCATCGCTCACCAGCGACACTACATCGGTCCCGCAGCAGGTGCAGCTCTGTCCGCCGCGTCCCTCACGCTCGTCCCCTCGGTCATGCTCTCGTATGTCGTGGACTCGTACCCGTGCACGAGCGGCGAGGCGCTGGTTCTGGTCAACGCGTCCAAGAACGTGGTTGCCTTTGGGCTGGCCAAGGGATCGTACACGTGGATGGCGCGCGAGGGCGTCGACAAGATGTTCTACGAGTTTGCGGGTATCCAATGGGCGGTGATTGCGTTGGCGCTTCCCTTGTACTATGCCGGTCCTTGGATTCGGGCCAGAACACAGAAGTTTGTGTAATGGGTTAGCTGTGGAACGCGTATGCCTATGATATTCTCTTGTTTGCACAGTGGAAGAATTTAGTTCATACTTTAACCTGCGTTCCCCGGTTAATGGAGTATCTCCTATAATACTAAAGTGATACTGAGAGGACTCTGCCGCGTCTCCGCGTAGTGCAGTACAACTGAAAGAGAAGAAAATATGGCATCCTAGAATGATAGTCGGACAACCGCCTCGAGGGATTAGTCTTTTTCTGGGTTCATGTGGAGGGTCTCGGGTAGGGATAGTGGACATAGGAATTACTACCGTAAATGTTTGCGCCGCAAGCCAGCACAACGTTCACCAGAAACCTTGCTTGACGCAAATTCCACGAAGTAATCAACTTGCTCCGCTCCTCGGTATGTACAATTACGTCTATATTCGATGCCCCATGGCAGCCTAAATCTAGAACAACTGTGTTATATTATATCTAGCATACTTGGCTTGAGAAGGCAGAGTGTCAACTTCCTAGATATATTTTGTGTTTGACTAAAAATTTGCTGACATTGCTATTCTTCTGTGGCGTGCCTCTCTTAACTGCATGAGGTGTTTAATGATTTTTAAAGTAGTTGATGCATATGAGCCTGAAAGGATTCTAATAGCCAGCTTGAGCAGCATAGTAACTAGGTGAATAGCCCGCCTTAAAATCACTTGGAGTGTAGAATTCATAATGATTTACACCACACCATACTGCCAGTCCGGGGACAATCAACTCAAGCCTGTATTGAAGTGAGAGTCAAAATTACTATAAGTATTTTGAAAGATAACTGCACCTTTAATTAACGTTACTCAGCAGTAATCTTTAGTGTAGGGTGGGAAGTTACTTAGCTCATGGGGACAGGCCGCATCTGGGGTATAGATCTGAAGATGGTTTCTCCTCGGCAGTCTACACCTATAAAAGCACTATCTGAAAACACAATCACCTCTCTAGCGGTCTAGCCCTTTACTTCAGTCTGCATCCGTTTCATCAACGACTGTCCATCTTCCTGTCAGGTGCCGTACTTGCCCCCGAAGGGTAACCAACCTCTGGGACAACCTGCCTGAGCGGGTGCTGGCATTGTGATGTACAGCAAAGCACATGGTGAACCCAATCTGTGCCCCTCCTACTCTTTCAGAACCGCTTTCCCGATTTCTCTAGCCCTCCCGCAATCCATCCGTCTCCGACCGCCCCGCCCGGAATTCCCGAAGTCCCAAGTCTGGAGCTTTGCTGACAGTATAAAACTGTCCCTCCTCAACCGTTATCCGTTAACCCTGCCCGTGATACCCGTAGGTCATAAGTCGAAGCAATACAGCATCCACCATGGCTATCGATAAACCTTTAACGACATTATACAAAGAGGTCCAAGGCAGCAAGATCACGACGGACATCTACCTTCCCCCGTCGGGTTCGGCAACCCCGCAGAAATATCCTGTCGGTGAGTAACCCTAACCCAATTGAGTATAGGGTCATCTAGCAGTCGTAAATTATGCTCGAAGGAATGCTGATTAATAAAGTAATCAACATTCACGGCGGCGCCTTCATGCTCGGCCACTCACGTATGG